AAAGACATCGAGGAATTGGTGGCGAAGACTATCGCAGAGTTCGGCAAAATTGATATTCTGGTCAATAACGCGGCGGTCGGCCCGACGGCCAGTTTCGGAGACCCGGAGTATTTGAATTCATACGATTGGGTGATGAATGTAAACGTCCGGAGTGTACAGGTGTTGACACAACTGGCGCTTTCATACCTGGAGATAACGAAAGGCAATATCATTAACATCTCGAGCATCGCTGGCACTATACCGGTAAACAAAACAATTATTAAACAAGATGAAACAATAAAAATAAATTCAATTCAATGATGGTCATATTTCATAGAGTGCCGCCAGATTTCCATACCATATGTCCAAATGCGCGCTCAATATGTTCACCAAATGCCTGGCCTTAGGATTGGGGCCCAAAGGGGTTCGCGTTAATTGCATTACGTATGTATATCTGTAGAATTTATATATTTACCATAATGACTGAATTGTAAATTAATTAGCTACAAACTATATAATATCAACTCAATTAACAATCACGTTCTCATAGGTTGGGTCCGATTCGGTCGCACTCTATGGACAGTAATGCCAAATATAAGGACAATGAGGCGGCGCTTGAGAGACACTGTGAGGCAAACTACCCGTTGAGACGTATTGGAGAAGTGGAGGATGTGGTCGAAGCGGTCGCATACCTGGCCTCACACAAGTCCTCATATATAACGGGTGCCATTTTGCCCGTAGATGGCGGTCGACTCGCTTCAAAGAGCCAATAACTATGATCGTTTATATAAACTTTTATTCAATTATAATTTATTGGTATTTTACATGAATCTTATAGAGATTTATAAAAAATATTAATCAAGGTAAAAAATTGATTTATATTAATTAAAACGGATAGTATTTTTGATTACATAAAATATGGTAATTATGGGTAATAAATGATAAATCATTTCAATGATTAAGACAATAGTTGAAATTGAAAACAAAACACATGATAAATATAATAAATCAATTAAATGTTCAGTAATTATTTGTTTGTATTCAAATGGATCCGTAATCTCTATCATGTTAAAACGTTTAACTTGTTGACTAACTTTTATTATATGATTATGGCCGACCACTCGTAGACACCGAAACAGTTGTACGCTTTGAATAGTGTCTGCCCTCTGGCCGAGTATACGCGGGCGCCGATCGATTGCCATCTCGAAGTAGTCGACACATTGGCTCAGATTGAAGACAATGTCTTTGAGAAGAGACATGTATTTCAGATACCGGGCGGACACCGATGGCGCCACAAATAAATTTACCTTGGTCTCGTAGATATAGCTCAATACTTCAATTAAAGTTGTGGGCTGTGGATTAAATCTGATACTAGATTTTAGAATGATAAATAATTTTACAGTTTACTTTATTTAATAACTAGTTTATATTGCTTTACACTTATTATGATTTGTAAAGTATCGCAAATTCAATGATTACCATCAGTAATGGTCCGCACATTTCTTGTGTCGTGCCGTCACTCATAGGCATACTATTAGGTGTTTTATAAAAGTTTTAATTGTGTTATTAATTATAAATATTGTTTTTTTAATTATTTAGTTATAACTTACATGTAAATGATTGGCGGACTACTGATGGCCTGCACTGTAATTATTTTACTTTAAATCGTATCGTTTGTAAAACTAATCAATTCATTCATTTTAACGATCAAACAGTGATTTGATTTTGAATATGAATTCATTGTTTATAAATTAATTTACATGTATTTCAATAAGAAAAATATTAAACAAAATTCTTAACAAAAACATTATGCAAAAATAGTGTTCAATAATTACATGTATGCAATAATGTATGTTAATTCACATGATAACTCTTGGCAATCGTTAATAATAATTATTTTTATATGAATTGTGTTTATTATAATAATAAATGTTGTGTTTTTATGTACTAAAAGTACTAATTATAAGTATTTCTATTATTATATTGATATTTTAATTGCAAGTTACTTTTATGAATTATTTGAATAAATTATCCTAAACATTGTACAGTATTTTACAAAATAAAACATTTAATTAATTGGTTAAATAATTAAAATATTTTAGAAAAATTTTAACTTTATAATTAAATAATATAATCTAATTTTCCAATACATGATGTTTAGAATTGTTTTTAGAGATATGATTTTCAATTTTATAAAATTAATTATTTGTGTTAAAATATATTTAATTTGGTTTATATAAATTGTCAAAATCTCAATTGCAAAGCAAATTCCTGCTAAAATATAAGCTATAATACAAGAGTAAAATAGATCAAGTACATTTGTTAAAGTAATATCATCGTATTCATATGGGTTATGTTTAACAATAATATAACCCTTGGGCATATATCTTACAACATAGAGTATATTGCTAATCCACTGTTGATACAATCCGGATTCCTTTGTCATTGAAATCCTAATGAAAATTAAAAAAATTATAAAAAAATATAATAAAATAAATCGATAATATTAAATCAAATTACATTTGATTGAGTGCTTTCGCGACACTTTTATTAGTCTTTTCGCTTACAAATAAGAAATACGGCTCAAAACCGGCCGAAGCTTCAGATATATGTATTAAATCAGTTAAACGTTTTTCACCATATTTTAATGTATTATTGTCCACATTTATAAAATCTAGCAAATCAAATATCAAGGCTTGTCTATCGTTAGCGTAGGCATAGGACCCGTCCTTCAGACCACGGATCAGATCCTGGGGGTCAATACCAAAATCTCCAAAAATGTTACGGGCAACCTTCCGCATTTCCCGGTGCTCTGAGAGCTGCTGTAATGAGTCTATAGTGAGCACCGGTACCGCCCGTACCATACAATCCCACAAATACACCGAGAACTTAATGGACAGTATAGCCGCGCCGAACAGCCATATCCCGAACAGTTTTTGTTTTGTTTTCAGTATAAATCGTTGCAATGATTTTGCGTAAAGAATTGTTGAATAATTAAAAAAGTATTCATAAAATGTATAAATAGTTAACGATTTGAGTGATGAGACCAAAGATATAATGATAAGTGTTGTCAACACAGCTATCCATACATTAAACTGAAATGATCTGAAATAGGATAGTATAGGTAATGCACCGGTAGTTGTCCGCGCAACGAATGTGTCCTTTTCCAAAAAGTCTATGCAGTTAGTAATGGTGAATGCGTTGTTAATAATCTCGAACAGTGATGCATCGGATGTAAATAAAGAACTGGATGTAAGCGGAGATAATAAAATATCCACTTCTATCATATTGCTCAAGAAGCCAATAAACGATGAAGTCATGCCTTGTATTTTTACCCTGCCACAATAAATTTTCTATTATAATTCGAATTATGATAAACATTCAAATTACTTTTTATACTACAAAAGATTAACATAATCAATAAATATATATAATAATTATTGGTTCAAATGATTAATACATGGTTTAACCACTAAGCAGTGTAGATAAAATTGTGAAATTAGTTTTATAATTTAGGTTAACATCCCTAGGCACCAGAATCCAAGTTTCATCATGATCGGACGAATAGTTTAAGAGCAGGAATTTTTCAAAGTATGTCGGTCGGAATTATGTCATAAAAATAACATTACTCCATTAGACTTAACATTACCCCTAGAATTAGCATTGCCATAGACTTATCATTACTTACGTTAATCCTATGTCATAGACTTAATATTACGCATAGGATTAGCATTGCTATAGACACTACCCATATTAACCCTATGTTTTAGACATAAGATTACCATTAACCATAGGATAACATTAGCTCCATGTTAATCCTAAATCATAGATTTAACATTAGCATCATGTTACTAGCAGCCATAGACTTAAGCTGTAATTGCATATAAAATCCCATATGATTGGGAAAAAGGGAGCCGAACAATCCTATGAACTACATTATTCATAGCTGAATTGTGGTTAGTAAGTTTAAATCAACAAATAATCGTTATTAAATATTTTCATGATAATTCGTGGAAATACTGTTTTTTTGTAAATTATAAAATTGCAATTGTAATATTTTAAAAAACTTACGGTATTTTTAAAAACTTTGAAAACTCAATGATTAACATTAATAACGGACAGCAGATATATTCCATATTATCATAGCTAGTGTTACTATTAATTTTAATTTATATTAGATAATAACAATATATTTTTAATTAATTAATACTTACGTGACATATATATACGGAGGCATACTTATGGGCTGTATAATTATAGGATTGTTATAAAATGACTCATTTGAAAAGTAAATCAATTCTTTGTTGTTATACAACATACAGTAATCATCATTATTATATAAATTCATTGTTACAAAACTGATAAATCTACTATTAATATTTAAATAACACTAAAATAATTTAACAATTGTGCATGTACACCAAGCTATTTACTACAATAATTTTTAATTATTTCTTGAGCTGATTCAAAATACACTAAAATCGTACGATCTATTAAATAATTATTTTTAAAAATACATAACAGAATAGATGAAAATGTTTATTTTGTTTACCTACTAGCCAATATTTAGGTATCTGGATAATAACGATCTGGGTGTAACTATATAAAAATATTATAATTAAAAAAAATAATCTCTTGTAGAGCTAAAGATATTTACTGTTTTATTACTAAACTTTTGCAATAAATTATTATTTGCATGCAATATGTTATATTATAAAAACATAAGTTAAACACAACTAAATTATTTATTTCGAAAATTAAATTGTACAGAATAAATATTGTTTTACATTTTATACTACTAATTAAAATTGATGTCAATTTTATAATATGTTCATATTTAGTTATTCCCAATTATATTACATAAAAATCTGAATGACATTTATGCACATTTAAAATACGTATATTTATAAAATACAAAATAAGATCTATTGTAATGTATATACGTGTATTATATATGTGTATTATAAGTTCATAACATTATAAATTATTATGTGAACTTCATAATATCAAATATACTAAAACACAAAATTACATTAGTAGCATTTAGTGTAGTATTAATAAATATAGTTAATAATGTTTGAATACAATGCTGTTTATGCTATGAAAATAAACTTACGTATCGTGCACCATGGCAGTATTCTATATGAAATCAAGTTTTAATCATACTTGCAATTATACTTAACTAATTTCTATTTCATTTTACAAATATTTTAAGACTGATTTGTGAGGAATTCCTGAAATTCTTTTTAGCTGGTGCTTGTCATTGATTTTTAAACGATTTTTTAACATCAAACTTTTTAAAATACTGCCACGATGCACGTTATGGGTTAAGCAATCACTGGAAATAAAAAGCAAAATAGTTATTATTAATACTAGTTATCATTAATTAATACATGTTACATTTGTGCACCCGGATTTGCATTACTTAAATTTATCTATTTTTGTTAATTATAACCCTGTTTGTACTCTCATACCAACCAATAAATTACAAACATTACTGCCAATATAGATTTAAAAAATTTAACAAAAAAAACTAAACTATTTATAAATGTTTATATTTTTCTGATTAATTAATTATGAATAAAAAGAATCGATTTAATAATAAACCGAATTAATAATAAAAAATATATAACAATTAACAAAAATGAGAAAATGGTTTAAATGTAATACAAGTGAAGAAATGAGAGAATAGTTATCAATAATTGTTTGTTATTTAAATGAGAAATAAAAATATACAGTACGTACCTTAAATTGTATTTTTGTTATCATTAAATTGAATTGATTTGTTTATTGTGCTGTCTCTATATTTTCATGTATATAATTGTGAACGAAATCAGCATTGATTTAATATAAAACATATATATAATATAATATACAGTGAAACATGAACTGAATGAACCATGAGTTGTGTGAACTAAGCATTTGTGTGAACCAAATCTCAAAACATAAACTATTCTCTCATAGACATAATGTTAAAAAATCATGAGTTGTGTGAACATGAACTGTGTAAACTAATGATCTGTGTGAACAAATTATAGCCAAAATTATGTGGCATTCAATGCATTTTATAATGAGTTGTATGAACTACACAAAATAGCAAATTTAAAGCCAAATTTAAATGACAGCACTAAACAATTTCGTACACAAAATGGATAATCAGTTGTTTACATTCAATAAATCATTAAAATAACAGAAAATTACATTTATTTCTTTTGAAACACTTATAAATTTGTCATTTAAAGCAACATTTATGCATTAACCATACTTTTAGTTCATAATGAGTTGTGTGAACTAATAATTTGTGTGAACTAAATGGCAAAATTTACCAAGTTCACCAAGTTCATGTTTTACTGTATATAATTGTAAGCATAATATTTGTGCATAAAATGATCACAATATTTATTAATTTAGTTCACATGTAATGAATAGTCATATTCACTAAACATATTATATGTGCAAAGACTATAATTGAATTCAAATTCATTAATAATTTTATATGGGAGTGGTTGTGGTCGTTGTCAGCAATACTTGTCCGACCCTTTTGTCGATCACCAGCTCTTTCGGTCCAGAATTCACTTTATTGGGATCAGACTATTGGCCAAATTCTTAGGTTCACTAGACTTCTTATCGAGAATCTATGCGCTATTACTTAATCTGAAACTGTTATGACTATTATCGGGATTAAACTATTTGCTGTGACTGTCATCGGGGGCCGACTGTTGTTGCAATTGTTGAGATTGTTGTTGAAGTAGCGGTTATTTTGCTGTTGGGGAACCGTACACATCAAGTGCTGTACGGCTGCGTGCGATGCCGAGTACGGTGTGTTTGGCGCGTACTGGACCGCCACAAAGGACATTGATGTCAATTACTGCGAGTTCACTGAGTCGTGATTGATGGGCGACGCGGGCACTGGCATGAAGTTGAACTGATGGCCACCGCCGGCCGCGACCGAAATAGTCGTTAAGGAAAGGCGGCTATTGGGCGAGTGCTCGAACGTCACTTGCGGGGCCCCCATGTTTGGTGTCGACGGCAGTGAGTGGGGCTGAAGTCCGGCGCCGTTGTGCCACACCGTCGGCGTTGTGGGCACCGAATGCGAGTCATTGTAGTATTGGTGGCCAAACATCTGTTACTGTTGTGGATTAAGGCCCGGACTCTGGACATCGCAATTGAGGCCTAAGTCGCTGGAGTCGCTGTGGCAACGTTGCTGTTAGCGCTGTTCCTGAGCGACCAGGAATCTGCTCTGAATGCTGGTGGTCGGGGGGCCGGGACAGTATGACCGATGACAGTATAGGCGCCATCGGGCGCATGAGCGGCACCTGCTTGTTGTGCTGCGCTTACGAAACTTTTGTTTGCCACTCGACAGCGAAACAGTGTTAGTCGACAATTACGGTTCTTTCGTTGCAATCTTAACTTTGGGCCGCTTTGATGCTGATCTCTGTATTTCTCTTTTTTGGGACCCCTCCTAACGGTCGCACTATTGGTGTGAATTGTCTCCTGTGTGAACAAAATGATGAGTTGTATGCATTTAGGTTTTGACTAACATAGTTTAAGATATTTTTAAAAACGTAATTTAATACAAGTGATTTAACTTACAAATAGTTATACACGTTAAATTTAATGTATTAAAGAGTGAAACTTACATTTAATTACATTTAATATTAACAGTTAATAACCTAGTTTTTAATTAAATTAAATGTTATCGTTATATATTAACTCATTATAACTGTATAAAATAAATGCTGTATGTAAATTATAACGTGTTTATAATACCCCCTATTAATGGTCACAACGTTTGACATACAGAACGATACCCGAGCCGTTAATTCCTGTCACTACCAGTGACAGCCAGTTCCCTCAATACCTGCATTGTCTCACATAACTAGAATCTCTATTTTTCAAGAATAAAAACACCCAAATTTGGGCGGGAATCGGGAGCATAAAACAGTCAATTTCGGGAATAAAATCGGGAATTAAAAATTTGTTTTATTTTAACATTAAAACAATAATTATGTATTTAAATCGTTTAAAAATGAATTTTATTTAATAATAACATAAAATTTGAGATGTTCTTCTGTAAATCTATGCCTTCTATCTATAATAATATTCTTAAATTGAGAGAAAGAAAAAGAATCTTAAAGAATGAATGAAAACACAAATCTAATTTTAAAATAACATGAAATGTATTGTCACATTTTTTAAGTTTAACTTTTATATAATCCCTTTATCACACATTATTTTTAATTTTATAGCAGTTTTTGATATTTATTTTATATTTCATTAAAATATTTGAAGAAAAAGCGATGATTATAATAATTATTTTGTGGCAAAAGTGCATTTTCGGGACTATTTTTTCATAATCTGGAGTTTTCGGGACTTTTCGGGAGTTTTCTCAAAATATACCAAAATCGGGAAAAATAGGAAATATAAAAAGTATAAATATTGTTTTTATTTCGACCCATAAGCCTAACGGTATGTAATTGCCGAAGTTTTTATTCACTAAATTTATTCGGGAGTTCTCGAAAAATAGAGACTCTACACATAACATGACATTCCTAAGAGTATCACCCAATATAATTGTTTATCACATTTATATCAATATCTATTGTACTGTATTATATGTAACACATATCTAACTGCATATAAAATCCGGACAGCACTTTTATTCCCGTCACCCGTACCCGTACCCGTCGGGTCACCCGTCGACGGGTCGACCCGTTACCCGTCAACGGGTCAACTTATTATCTTATGTAGAATTAGGCGCTGAGTTTGAAAATAAAATTTGTTTTTGTCAATCTCGAATAATTTTTGCGTTATTCGACTTAGAAATATTTTTGCTTAAAATTTTTAATTAATTGATTCATTGATATGATATATGGATTTGATGTGGAATCTGACTCTGATCTCAAATTTGAAATTCAAAATATTCTATCTTGAACGATTTACGAGTTAATCAGATTTTAAAATTTTAAAGGTAAATATTTTGAATACGATAAATGAAATTTTAAATCTGATTAGATAATCTTAACCAACGTTAAAATCTACATCAAATTCATATATCATATCAATAAATCTAGTCAATTTAAAATTTTTGACAAAAATATTTCTAAGTCGAATAACGCAAAAATTATTCGAGATTGACAAAAACAGATTTCATTTTCAAACTCAGCGTCTAATTCTACATAAGATAATAAGTTGACACGTCGACGGGTGACCCGACGGGTACGGGTACGGGTGACGGGAATAAAAGTGCTGTCCATAAAATCCGCAAACATTCACTGTATCCTTCAGTGTTTGCTGGACTCCACCCGAGTCTACATCACTCACACATTACATACTTTACATCTAATAAATGTTGTAATCATCGGCTATATATGTAACTATTTGACCCAAAGGTCTGGGGGATAGTTAGCGACTGGTTCCGCATCACCCGATTTCCGATCAGTCCAATACTGACCGCTCGGATCGTAACAAAATAAAAACAGATTGTCATTTATCATAATTTATAAATTTTATTATTAAAAATTTTAATACATAAATTTTTTTAATAAATTAAACATAAAAATAAAACAAAATTTTGCAGAATTATAGCAAACTATTAATTGCTATATGGGATTACTAATGACTACCCCTGTGTTCGGAGTTGTATTTTCTGATTGCTTTATCCCGATTTATGTTATGTTGATCGATGTATTCCTTGTTGTATTTCGTGATCTGCTCTTTTGTAAAACACTGATCATCGTGTGGACTACTCGGGACCTTTTTGCAAATATAACCTTTGCTACAGTATTGGCATTTGCCATCTTGCTTTTCATCAATATGTGTCCAACGGGGAATCTTATTAGGATCCATCTTGGGTTTCTTCGGCGATGATGATCCACATGATAATATCATGCTAACAACGACAAAAACGATTAGTAGCTTAGCGACTTTTGATATTTTATCAGCACCACTTGAGTTATGTGTTTTTTGTTATAACTTTATTAATATTTATGATACTGTATACGTGGCAAACTTCTTAATAAATATATCTAATAAGTTATATTATAAAATAAATTATAATTAATTGCACAGATCGTATGGAAATGAATACAAAGTTATGTTCATGTACAGAAAGTTCGTCGCTTCCAATTTCCAAGTGTTCACATACAATGTAAAGTATACACCGTACAAAATGACATTTATATAAGGTGACCAGAATTTTTTGGCCAACAGGAGGGCAAATGGTCAGTTTGAAATTTAGCGGAGGACTTACGGAGGATAGCATTTTTTATATAAATATCTTATTATGTTTAAATTATTAATATATACAACATACAGTATATTGAGTGTTTTTAAATGCACAACTGAATATTATTGTTAATTAAATAAAATAAGGGATTGTCATAAAGTTGTGTTCTTTGGGCGCAAATGTTGTCATCACTGGAAAAGATGACAATCGTATCCAAGAAGTGGTCAACAAATGCCAGAATCGGGAAAATCAAAGAGCACTCGGAGTGAGGGCTGACAAAGACATTGAGGAATTGGTGGCGAAGACTATCGCAGAGTTCGGCAAAATTGATATTTTGGTCAATAACGCGGCGGTCGGCCCGACGGCCAGTTTCGGAGACCCGGAGTATTTAAATTCATACGATTGGGTGATGAATGTAAACGTCCGGAGTGTACAGGTGTTGACACAACTGGCGCTTCCATATAGCGTTGCCAAACGTACAGGAATGTCCTGTATTATACAGGAATTCTCACAGAATACAGGAAGAAATTTGCCTGTTTATTGATAAATACAGGAATAAATATTTAAAATAAACTTAATTTCAAAGAAAATAAGCTGTAATACAGGAAAATACAGAAATTTTTGACAATGTTCTCACATTTATACAGGATTTTCAAAATATCATTTGGCAACGCTACTTCCATACCTGGAGATAACGAAAGGCAATATCATTAACACCTCGAACATCGCTGAAACTATACCGGTAAACATAACAATCATTAAACAACACGAAACAATAAAAATAAATTCAATGATGGTCACTTCTCATAGAGTGCCGACAGATTTCCATACCATATGTCCAAATGCGCGCTCAATATGTTCACCAAATGCCTGGTCTTAGAATTGGGGCCCAAAGGGGTTCGCGTTAATTGCCTTACGTGTGTATATCTGTTCAATTTATATACTTACCATAATGGTTGAATTTTAATTAATTAGCTACAAACTATATAGTGTTAACTCAATTAACAATCACGTTCTCATAGGTTGGGTCCAATTCGGTCGCACTCTATGGACAGTAATGCCAATTATAGGGACAATGACTCATTGTCAATGAGGCGGCGCTTGAGAGGCACTGTGAGGCAAACTACCCGTTGAGACGTATTGGAGAAGTGGAGGATGTGGTCGAAGCGGTCGCATACCTGGCCTCACACAAGTCCTCATATATAACGGGTGCCATTTTGCCTGTTGATGGCGGTCGACTCGCCTCAACTGGTCAATGACCATGATCGTTTATATAAACTTTTATTCAAATAGTAAACTTATATGAGATGTAAACATAACTGTTGATACATCAAATAATATACAGCACCCATAATTGATAATTGATTAATATCACCAAGGTCTTTATATTTGATTTTGACTAGTAATCTAATTTTGTCAATTGATATAAGCAATAAATAAAGCAAGCAACTTAAATACTTTATAAACTATATTGTAAAGTACTCTAAATAAAAGTTTTGAGCAATTTATTTTTTGACAAAATATTTAATTAAATTTTTATGTTGTCGATAAACTGTTGTAATTAATAAATATAAATTCTTACATAATAAATATATGACTTTACTTTACAGTATACAGTAGTAAGCAATTTGCATATCAAAGTATTTTTATTAAAAATTAGCTTTTTATTTTAAATTTTACATTTTTATTCATATTGATAAATTATACACTTAATATTATTTATAAATATACTTTACATTTAATGTTTGATATAAAAAAATTGTTATAAAATTAATTTACATTATCCAAAAAAGTTGATTACTTGTATAGTAAATAATTTGTCTTTAAATATTAAATTATCGTATTGTAAATTGTACAGAAAATTATGATTTAACTTTTTTACATTTCTATTTACACATTATTAAAATTTTATTAAATAATAATGATTATTTAAGAGGTGTAGAAAAATTCTTATAATTACACAATAAAAACAATTTAAGAATGACATTGTTAAATGCAACAAAATAATTAATCTAAGAATTAAAACAATTCACCATTGTCATTGAATATTAAGAAGTTGTATGAATTTGCAACATTTAAAATAATCATTGTATACAGTTAATATCAACTTGTACTAACAATAATAACCACTTAACTAGTGGTTAATTTGTTCAGTGATTTGTTTGTTAAACAAATTTTTTTATTTAATTAAAATATGGATTTCAATGGCAAAGTAGCACTAATTTCGGGTACATTTTAGATATAAATTATTTTAAAAGAATTAATTTATATATTATTATGCAATGCATTTGAGGCACGATTTCGGTTATCGGTGAAGGGATTGCCATAAAGTTGTGGTCTTTGGGCGCAAATGTTGTCATCACTGGAAGAGATGTCAATCGTATCCAAGAAGTGGTAAACAAATGCCAGAATCGGGAAAATCAAAAAGCACTCGGAGTTAGGGCTGACTTATCGGCGGACAAAGACATCGAGGAATTGGTGGCGAAGACTATCGCAGAGTTCGGCAAAATTGATATTCTGGTCAATAACGCGGCGGTCGGCCCGACGGCCAGTTTCGGAGACCCGGAGTATTTGAATTCATACGATTTGGTGATGAATGTAAACGTCCGGAGTGTACAGGTGTTGACACAACTGGCGCTTCCATACCTGGAAATAACGAAAGGCAATATCATTAACATCTCGAGCATCGCTGGCACTATACCGGTAAACAAAACAATTATTAAACAACATGAAACAATAAAAATAAATTCAATCATGGTCATTTCTCATAGAGTGCCGACAGATTTCCATACCATATGTCCAAATGCGCGCTCAATATGTTCACCAAATGCCTGGCCTTAGGATTGGGACCCAAAGGGGTTCGCGTTAATTGCGTTACGTGTGTATATCTGTTAAATTTATACTGTATATTCACCATAATGGTTGAATTTTAAATGAATTAGCTACAAACTATATAATGTTAACTCAATTAACAATTACGTTTTCATAGTTTGGGTCCGATTCGGTCGCACTCTATGGACAGTAATGCCATTTATAAGGACAATGAGGCGGCGCTCGAGAGGCACTGTCAGGCAAACTACCCGTTGAGACGTATTGGAGAAGTGAAGGATGTGGTCGAAGCGGTCGCATACCTGGCCTCACACAAGTCCTCATATATAACGGGTGCCATTTTGCCCGTAGATGGCGGTCGACTCGCTTCAACCAGCCAATGATCATGATCGTTTATATAAACTTTTATTCAATTATCATTTATTGGTATTTTACATGAATGTTATGGAGATTTATAAAAATATTAGTCAAGGCAAAAAATAATTTATATTAATTAAACCGGATAGTATTTTTGCTTATATAAAATATGGTAATTATGGGTAATAAATGATAAATCATTTCAATTATCAGGACAATGGTTGAAATTGAAAACAAAACACATGATAAATATAATAAATCAACTAAATGTTCAGCAATTATCTGTTTGTATTCAAATGGATTCGTAATCTCTATCATGTTAAAACGTTTAACTTGTTGACTAACTTTTTTATCACTTTCCAATACATTCTTGGTCCAATGTCCGGTCAGTCCCGATTCACCAAGCCTAATTATTCTAGTTACAAATAATTACAAACTTTTAACAAATCATTTGATCAAGTTAAGTCAATGAAATTACTCACAAAGACAATAATAACACAAATCAATATCCCTTAATACTTACACACTATTCAAACCATTGATAATCCATGTATTTCTGCCATTCCTTACAAACAGAAAATATGGCTCAAGAAACTGATTGGGAACTGAAATGTGTATCAATTCAACGAGCGGTGTCTGCGTTGGCCTAAATTTACCATCAGTTTTACTCATATGCATAATATTTGAAATTAAGGTAAAGCGTTTGTGAACGAAAGCCAACGAACCGTTTCTCAAACCGGTGGCCAACGATTGGCGAAACCGGCGGTTATTATAATCAGAGATCCTTAACCTCTGGCCAACACTTTTGGCCAAATCGGTGTCCGCCGTGCGGGCGAACGACACCAATGAGCTATCGTTGCGGACATACACTCGCATACCCGGCCTCTGTGCCAACTGGTCCAGCGTATCGATGGTGAGCACCGGCACCGGTCGGCCCATATAGTCCAACAGGTATGACGTGAATCCGATGGACAGCACAAAAGCCGACAGTAGCCACAGTCCGGGTATTAATCGCCACCGGTTTGTCCGCAACACAAACTGTTGCATAGAGTTGGGTAATAAAAATAGCCAATAGTTGTATAAATAGTTGTAAAACATGGTAAATGTTGGTAATGATTGACCAATGGTTGATAGTATGGCCAAAATGATGATGGTGATAACTATGATATACCATACGCTCGGGTCATAGCACTGGAAATATGGGAACAGCGGTAGAGCGCCGGCTGTTGTTTTGGACGCTATGCTAACCGACTCGATGTAGTCAACGGCTACGGTGTGCCGAACCGGTCGACTGTCCATATAGTGAACGTACTGACCAATCATCGCCGGGAACAGCACTATATCCACATTGTCTTCGCTATATTTATCCATAATCTCTTCGATCGTACGTTTAGTGCCTTTATATTTAAATCTCAAACTTGTTTTGGTTTAAAATGTGGTAAATATTTAATTTAGGTAATTATTTTAATCATTATTACCATGTTTTGTACGCTTTAGCAAACTCTATGATTAGCATAACCAGCGGTCCACACATTTTGTAAAAGTCCTGTTCATCGGTATCTCTTATGTGTTAAGTAAATAGTTTTTAACACAATTGATAGTACAATGTAAATTAATTTAAAAATTTATAAAATGGTAAATTACGGTAGCATTAGATAGGGTGGCGTCCGTTTGGGCTCAACTAAAACATTCCGGTTATCAATGGTTTCGTTTGTAAACTTAAAACATATTTTGTTGTTAAATAGCAAACAATTGCTGTTTTTATCCATATTTTACACAATAATTTATAAAATGTTTTCTTCTACTGTTGTTTGGTTATTAAATACAAGTTATAATTGCTATTAAAATAAATCAATAATTTATTTAGTGTTAATGGATCGCCAAAAATAATTGCAATGTTATTACCTTATTAAATTGACTCAAATGTAATTGACATTAAATGTTTGTCATTTAATTTTATAAACATGTAATCTGTTAAATTGGCTATAATGAGCTAAAAATAATTGTTTTTTACGATAATAAACTAGAAATATTATTGATCATACAAAATATTTTGATGAATTATTACAGTATATTAAATATAATAATTTATTTGATTCATGATAAAATAAATCAATTGTATGTTTCTACAATATGTCATTGCAAACAAAACAATTATAGTCTGTTTACAATGTTTAATATTGTAAAAATATGTAGAAAATCACAATAAAAATGTTTTATATTTTAATATTACTAGAAGCAATTTACAAATACAACATTATTTTTATAAACATGTTGATATTTTTGAATACTGTAAATGTTAACATGTTATTTATAAACTATTGTTATACATCAACTAAACTATAAATATACAGGGAAGCAGACATTTGCTCGAAAGACATTTGCTCAAAAAACATTTGCTCGAAAATTTTTTATTTAATTTGCTTTAAATACATTAAATTAGTAATTATTACAAATAATATTATTAAATAAAAGTATATTAGTTAGTTTGGGTTAGTTTGGTTAAGTTAGGTTAGGTTTAACAAGTTAATTTTACAATTTAAGTTAATTTTTTCGAGCAAATGTCTTTCGAGCAAGTGTTTTTCGAGCAAATATTTTCGAGCAAATGTCTTTCAAGCAAATGTCATAGACCCAAATATAAAGTACAAGTTAAAATGTAAACCTAAAACAAGAATGATAAAGCATCTCAATAACAATCATAATTATTGACACAATTAACCCAATTATCAATAAATAAAAGCCTTCGAAAAGATCTTTAAATAAAAGTACATTAAAATGAATGGAAACATAATTATCGATATGTTTATCAATATTTAACATTTGATGTCTATTATAGTTAATCACGTCTTCAATCCATTGACTGTAAATACCAGACTCTCTGAACGCAATAATCCTAAAAAAACATGATAAAAACATTCAATTCAATTAAAATCGATTACATTTTAACTTTATATAAAACACATACAATCTATCAATACCTTTACCGACCCATACGTCCGACACGTTATTTATAAATATAAAGTACGGCTCAAGACCTCCGTCTTCGGCCGATATTCTCATGATATCGACGAGTCGTTCATCTGATCCGTCGGTATAATTGGCCGACAAATTGGTCTCCATTTGTGACAACTCTATTAAATCAAAAATTAGGGCCAATTTTGAGTTGACGTAAACATAGGACCCATTCTTGAGGCCACGGATCAGATCCTCGCGAAAGCCCGGGTCGTAGTAATTGACGTACTCTTGGATCCGATGGCGGATACGGACGGCCAGTTCGGTGGCGTTATTGGCGGCGAAAGTGGCCAAAGAGCTGTCATCTCTCACCACAATCTTCGCCGCCGCAAAGCGGGGCTCAATCGCCAACTGATCCAACGAATCGATGACAATCATCGGCTCATTAGTGACCATATAATCGAGGAGTTCGGCCGCGAAGAACATTGTCAACCAGAGGGCCGACACCAGCCATACGACCAACACTGGGCTCCGGATGTCTGTGCGGGCGAACCGTTGCAGCTGTTTCTCGAAGACAATGGCGAAGAGGTTCCACAGAGTCTCGTAATATATGCGCCAATTGAACAGCCGTTGACCGCCAATGGATGATATCACCGATAGGCTCATCACTGAGAAGATTATGGCCGACCACTCGTAGGCACCGAAACAGTTGTACGCTTTGAATAGTGTCTGCCCTCTGGCCGGGTATACGCGGGCGCCGATCGATGCCATCTCGAAGTAGTCGACACATTGGCTCAGATTGAAGACAATGTCTTTGAGAAGAGACGTGTATTTGAGATACCGGGCGGACACCGATGGCGCTACAAATATATTCACCTTGGTGTTATAGATATAGCCCAATAGTTCCAGTAGTGTTGTGGGCTGTGGATTGAATCTGACGCTGGATTTTAGAGTGGTATATTATTTTACAATTTACTTTATTTAATAACTAGTTTATATTGTTTTAAACTTACTATGATTTATAAAGTATTGCGAATTCAATGATTACCATCAATAATGGTCCGCACATTTCTTGTGTCGTGCCGTCACTCATAGGCATACTATTAAATGTTAGAATAATTTTGTTATTATTCTTAAATATTTTTATTTTAATTATTAATTATTTAGTTATAACTTACATGTAAATGATTGGCGGACTACTGATGGCCTGAACTGTAATTACATTATTTTTAATCGTTTCGTTTGTAAAACTAATCAATTCATTCATTTTAACGATAAGACAGTGATTTGATTTTGAATATGAATTCATTGTTTATAAATTAATTTACATGTATTTCAATAAGAAAAATATTATACAAAATTCTAAACAAAAACATCATGGAAAAATAGTGTTCAATAATTACATGTATGCAATAATGTATGTTAATTCACATGATAAGTCCGGACGATCGTTAATAATAATTATTTGTATATAAATTGTGTTTATTATAATAATAAATGTTGTGTTTTTATGTAACCTTACGATAAGTACTAATTATAAGTATTTCTATTCTTATATTGATATTTTAATTACAAATTATTTTTATAAATTATTTGAATAAATTATCCTAAACATTGTATTTTACAAAAAAAAAATTAATTTTTTGTTAAATAGTTTAAATATTTTTAAAAAATTTTAATTAAGTAATATTAAGTAATGACCATTAAAATTGTCGCCGGGTAAATTTGCTACAAAATTAAAGATAATTTATTATTTTAATTAAAATAATTTTCAAATACAAGTATAGTACTTTAAGGATAAATTATCAAAAGAATTAGTATTTAATTTTGTTTAGTTTGGCCTTAATAAATACTTCAATTCGCGTTTGACGGCATTTGATACTACACTCTATGCTGAGAGGCTATTGAAATGTTAAATTTTTGCCAATATTTAGTGTAGAATTAGCGAATCCTAACTATATTTGGACACCTACCTTAAATTATATTTTTTTAAAAAGTTACCTATTTATTCCTAGATCAATATTTGTCATATTTCTTAAGACACTGGTGTTGTGGTGTCATTGAATTCATAGCTAAAGGAGTGTTTGTCGGGCCAGTAGTTCCAGTGATGGTTCTTGAGGTTTGTTGGAGTTAGGCATTGTCGAGGATTGAGTTGGTATATCATGTGATATATTGATGGGTTTAATTTAATTTTCCAATACATGATGTTTAAAATTGTTTGTAGAGATATGATTCTTAATTTTAATAAATTAATTACTTGTTTTATAATGTATGTAATTTGGTTTATATAAATTGTCTAAACTCAATTGCTAAGCAAATTCCTGATAGAATATAAGCTACAATACAAGCGTAAAATAGATCTATCACACTCATTAAAATAATATTATCGTATTCATACAGATTAATGTAATGTATTATAATGTTTCGCAGTAATAAAGCCCCATGGCATATATCTAACAACATAAAATATATCTCTATTCCATTGGTCATACAATCCCGACTCCATTGTCATAGAAATCCTAATGAAAGTAAAATAATAATAATAGAAATTATAATAAAATTAATATAAAATTGTAATAATTATATTACATTTGATTGAGTGCTTTCACAACACTTTTATTAGTCGTTTTGCTAACAAATAAGAAATACGGCTCAAAACCGGCCGAGCCTTCAGATATATGCATTAAATCAGCCAAACCTTTTTCACCACGTATTAATGTATCATTTATACCAATAAAAGCAATTGTCGTATTTGTATAGTTAAATATAATTAATTAATAAGTAATAAAATTCAATACAAATCATTACATTATATTTGCAAATAGCAATTTATTTCCTATTCATTTTCATCAAAATTGATACCATTTTTGTAACAATAGTATTGTTTTGCTATTTGTCTCAATTTAATGGACATTTCATTTCCCGTCTGTTTGACTAATTTGCTGAACAGACCATCGCTTGTGTCCAACAAATGGTGGGGAATGTCGTACTCAACCACTTGTCCCGCGTCTAACACCTGATCAGTCAATACATAAACAATGAGTACAACACAAGTGATGCGAACCCAACCCCCTATCAAACCCTGGCTTACCATCACTTTGTCGGAGTCGATGATAGTGTTGAGTCTGTGGGCAATCGTAATGACAGTACAGTATCTAAACCTCTGTCTAATAGTGGTCTGAATGAGAGCATCGGTTCTGTGGTCGACATTAGCGGTCGCCTCGTCTAANATAGTGGTCTGAATGAGAGCATCGGTTCTGTGGTCGACATTAGCGGTCGCCTCGTCTAACACTAGTATCCGATTGTCTCGAAGTATAGCTCTCGCCAGACATACCAATTGGCGCTGACCTACACTCATATTACTGCCCCCTTCTGTCACCACTCCGTTCAACTGTCCGGGCATTGACTGCACGACATCCCGGAGCTGTACCTCTTCCAGAGCCGACCAGAGCTCGTCGTCCGGGTGTTCATCAAAAGGATCTAAATTCTTTCGCACCGAACCCGTGAAGAGCATCGATTCCTGAGGTATGATTGATATACGACTTCTCAAGTCATGCAAACCCATAGTTTTGATGTCCACCCCGTCTATCAGTATCTGTCCTAAAGGTTCTGTGAGTCGAAAGAGGGCTGCAATGAGTGACGACTTGCCGGCGCCCGTCCGGCCCACGACTCCCACCTTTTCTCCCCCTTTGAGGCAAACGTTGATATCTTTGAGCACTTTATGCGGCGATTCGTTGTATTGAAGACTCATATCTTTGAACACTATTTCTCCCATTTGTGGCCAATCTTTGGGTGGTTTCCGGTCGGGAGTTGAATCGAGCTCTGCCTCGGGTGTAATGGATGTGTATTCGAGCACTCGCTCGACAGCAGTCATATAGGACTCGGTATCGGCCGATACGTTAACACATATTTGAACCATTCCGGTCAGCGATAGGGCTTTTATTTAAAATGTATTCATTAATACAAATAAAATAATTGTTATTTTATGAATATTAATACCTGACGTTAACAAAAGTCCCGCATTTCCTCCGAGAATAGCTTTTAAATATTAAATTATGAAATGATTTGAAATTTTGAATAATAGCAAACATACGGTCACTACTGGTCATGATATACGCGATAACAGCGCTCACATAAACCATACAAATGGTGTCCACTAAGACTCCCAGCGCTCGAGCGGTGCAAACAAATAGGAAAAAAGTACTCCACAACAGCAAAACCACCTGAAGTTTGACTGCGAGTTTGTATACGACACGCGGTTTGCGTGCCTAGCTACAGTCGGGTGTGTCGCAACACAAGTGCACACTCATGTGGCCTCTCCGGGCTGAGAGAGACAGACAGACAGAGACAGGGAGAAAGGGGTTAAATAATTTTGATGATGATCATAAAAATGATGTGCCAATACATACACAACCCTTCCATGCGTTGAATATCACGCGCGGCTCTGATATAAAAATAGCGACACATAATAACCAATATTATTAACAGTATCGCCGGGAATATCAATATCCAACTGACGATTGCATTCAATATAAGACATCCAATAATTAAACATAAATTCTATAGGATTTATAAAAATACTCAATTTATAAATAGTATAATATTGAATCTATTCTTATGTTTGCTGGATGTTAATTAAGCGCATACAAGGACTTAATTGTTATAATATTAAGTCACGATATAAAGTCATACATTTTCTCTTATAATATAAATTAATTAAATTCTAATACTTTACAATTATAAATTGAAAGGCAACCGATGGTAACACTTCGTCCACAATTCCCGTGTCTTTTGAAACTCTATTTAGTATTCGTCCTAAAAGTAAACGTATAATTAATTTACATTTTTTATAATTCAAAATAATCAAAATGTTAATAATGTTACCAATGGGTGAACTCTCAAACAGATGTATCGGTGATCGCAATAACGCACAGAATATTCTGTTATAGAGATTAACCGAAGATCTCATACACATTATGTAGAAACAAATGGTGGACAACAGGGCCGACACAAACAGACCACACATTATACTCGTGTAGATAATGAAATTCAATGTCTGATCCACTTCTTCGGGGTTTTTGATCATTTTATTAGTCCTAATATATTGTCTTAAATTAAAATAAAATTATTTTAGAATACTAATAATAGTACTGACCATAGGCTCAACCAATAATCACTTCCCTGATTGAGGACTTGTGCAGCGATTATAAAAAAAATTGTGAGTGTTATGAGTAGAGGTCCGGCGCCGGCCTTAATATAATCCATATAAACAGTGGTCTCAACGGATCCAATCATTTTGAGTTCGGCCATCACTTCCTGTTCGTCCACTTCTATCGGGTCTTTAATGTCCGTCACATCCAATCCCTCACTAAGTGATGAGATCATCGATGGTGTGACAGATGTCCTCCTCTTCACAGCTATGCTATCATTTGGTCCATCGGGTTGTCTCTGATATGCCATGAGATCAATGCCGCGCTCTTTGAGCTGAGTGTAGGACCCGATGGCCACACACAATGATCGCGAATGCAATGCAAACTATCTCAATAAATATATACCACTGTTTATATG